TAACAACATTATTACGGCTTTCACCGCATCTCGTCTCTCCGTCGCCTCGGGCCGAGCTCCACATCGCCGCCGACCGGACGCAGCCGACACCTGCCTGCCGCGTTCACGCGCGCTCGGCTTCGGAAAGAGCGAATCGACGGTGGCAGACATGTGAGTTGCGGAGCGTCGTTTCTCCACTTCGGTGCTGCTAGGTGCTATTGTAGCCCCACACCGACGCTCATTGCGCCGTTTAGCGTCACGGGCGGCGTGCTTTTGGGAGCTCAGTGAGGGCTAATGGAGCGAGCTGGCTCTGGTTGAAGTGCTCCAATGGATGCATGCAAGCATGGATGGATGGAGTCTCTGGATGCGTGACAAGTTTGTAACGTAGGCTCGGGCGCGCAGAGATTGTAGTGGATGCGTGTGGATTTCAACCCTAGTCAGATGTGGAGGCCCGGCCAGGAGCGTTCACACTGCGGCGAGGGTGCATGTGTTTTGCTGGCCGGGCCGAGAAGCACATACGGCGGAGGGAGTCTGCAGCGTGACCACCAGGGCAGATGTGAGTGGGCTTTGCTTTATGTTGTCCCCAGAGGTGCAGCATTGTGTGGCTCGGCTGCTCACATAGTGATACACAAGCTGTTCTTCCTGCACATGAAGTTTGCTTTTTGTGTAATTGCACAGTCTGGATTTTGAGATTTGAACGCCTACTTCCCGTTGAAGTTGATGTCTCAACACGTTTGTAGTCATTTACTTTAGCTGCTGAGTCAAGAACTGAGTCAGCCCTTCTTAAGTGGAAAGACTAATGATACAAAAATAAATAACAAATGCCACATTTGTCACATCCTGTTCCAAGTTAACCTTATAGGACAGGGGTCAGCAACCCAAAATGTTGAAAGAGTCATGTCGGACAAAAAACCCCCAAATAACAAATATGTCTGGAGCCGCAAAAAAATAAAAGCCTTCTGTAAAATGTACAATGAAGGAAACACATGCTGTATGTTTATGTTATTCATTCCTTTGTTGTGTGTTCACAAACTCCCCCATAGAATTTATTTTGTGATTTCCTCGCTTGATTTTTTGTTTTGGTGCATTACTTTCGCTTTTCTTAGTGTCAGTGAAGTAATCATAAATTTCTGTTTTTCGGAGGCTGTCTGAACGCCTCTCGAGTTGAACTCGAAGAAAGAAGGCACGGAGCCGGACGCAGACGTGTCAGTGTTTGTCGAGACTGTTAAAAGCATAAATGAAGTGTACGTTTTAAAAAAACCAACACCACAGCTCTCCTTTTTCGGAGATGCAACATGTATCTATATCTATTTGAGCTATAGTAGCCTACTATCACAATCTTTTTCCATTTTCAAAATTTTTTATAAAGCTCCAGGGAGCCACTAGATGTCGCTAAAGAGCCGCATGCAGCTCTGGAGCCGGGTGTTGCCGACCCCCGGTATAGGATCATGTACTGAGACATTTCACTTTGATTTGTGCTTTCATATTTCCATCTTAGTAAGCCACAGTTGATATATTTTCAACATTAGATGACTACCATGTTCAGCTATCAACACTGGACAGGAATGTCAGTGTTATTTATTTTAGTTGTAAATAAATACATGTCAGACACATCCTTAATCATATGTTTACTATTTACTCTTATACTTTTTCATGCATGCTAGGCCAGGTACACACACAAAGACAATAAAACTGTTTTTGTCTCGATTTTGCCCTTTGCAAGGACGACAAACGCTATTTTATGTCTTATAAAATTAGCTTGTAAGATTCATCTGTGGTCTGAGGTGTGTTAAGAGTGCATTTGTCCCTATAATTGGGTCCAAAACAAGTCTGAGCATAAAATCTTAGATATTAAATGCAGTTAATTTCTACAATGAAAAATCTTCATGTTTGTGGGAAAATCTGAAGGCTGCCCAGTCATAACTCTGGGAATCAATCAAGAAACGACCCATCTGAGGAACAAGCAAGAGTGTAAATCAGGGGTGCCGTTGTCCGGTCCTCGAGGGCTCCTATTGTGTCTGTTTTAGATATTTCCGTCCTCCAACACACTCGAGTTAAATGATCAGCTCCTCAGCAAGCTTTACGGAAACCTGATAAAGATCCTAATTGTTTGAATCAGGTGTGTTGGAGGAGGGAAACATCTAAAACAGGATTTTTTTCATTTAAAAAAAAGTCCCGAGACAACTTGTTCTCATGTGTTTTCTTCCATGTTGCGACTTCGGTTTATTAGCTGTTTGCGTCAATGCTGTAAAAGATGAAGAAATGGTTTTGTTAGCTTTCCAACGAGGGGCAACAGAACAAAATTAGCTTCTAAGGTGAAGAAATATCGAGGAGCAACCAGATTTTCAGCGGACGTCATTTATTCGTTATGCTTTCAGGGACAAGAACATGAAACTTCTCATGAAGATGTCCGTCCAACAAAGCAGGTGGCATGTGACAACGACAAGACCCAGGAGAAGATCCTGGGACTGAAGCACGCGTCCCTTCACACCGATGGCCTGGACTGAGTAAGCTGAGCGTATCAGATGACGAGTTTGTCGTACGCACACGGTTATGTCGTTAATGTTGCTTGGGCCATGCGTGGCAGGTTTCAGCTGGCCCACTGAAGCCATGGGGAGCTGTTGGAGCTGTCTCTACAGGGACCCCATCCGAGACAACCATCTCACCAAGTTTAAGGTTCATGCACTGTCACTCATTGTTAAATCACACATAGAGTAAAAGGCCGTGATTGCCATTCTTCTTTGTGTAATGAGTTTCTTTTTGCTGGAAATGACACAGGAAAGGTTTCAAAAGACTGTTTGAAAGTTGTAATGGTCGATTTTCATTCAATATATTCAAAATGGTAGTTGTTTTATTTTTTAAAAAATGATTCATATAACTAATTATATTTATCACCTTTGAAAAAAATATATTTTTTTCTTTTCTTAAGTTCTAGCTCAGTCGTTCTTCAATACTGAAAAATATGTATTTTTTGTTATTTCAATATATATATATTTGTATATATTTATTTTTTTAATGAAAAAAAAAGATCCCAAATCCTGAGGGAGTATTTTCTAAGGATCTAGTGAAAAAAAATTAACATTTTGTAGAGTGGGGGTGCCCAAGCAGTCGATCACGATCGACCGGTAAGCTCACGGACTGGTTCCAAGTCGATCATGATGGTGTGTGTTTGTGTGTGTGTTATCAATATTATACATTTTTGTGTTGGTGTCCACTGAATCCCGTAAATTCCACTTTCCCCAAAAAAGTATTCAAAAAATAACATTAAATTATAAAAAAAAGCCAGTCACCTTTAATCTATAGTGGCGCATGACCTGCATCACCGGAAGTTGTTTGTGGTCAGCAGTCTGCAATTGCAGCTTGCGATCAGAGCTGTTGCGACTTGCGATATCTTTAAAAATATATATATTATTACTCTCATTCAAAGTTTGTTTCATCTGCAATTTGCTGATGGCTATGGCAAAGAATGGGAATCTGGAGCGCTTGGAGAAGCATTGTAAAACGTGAGCTACGATAGTCATGTTCATGCACATAACACGCTGCAAAGGTGCGTCCCATACCTCTGCGTCAGGTCTCTACGAAGGTAGGCAGTGATTTCCTTTTTTTCAAACTCGCGAACTCTTGTATCTACTTCATTTTTCAGTTTAGTACGTGTGTGCGCGTGTGCATGGGTGCGCGTGCACGCATACACGCACTCACGCGTGCGGTAACGGGTCGATTGGGGGAGATTGGCTGCTTGAAAAGTAGATCTTAGGTCAAAAAAGGTTGTGCAGCCCTGGTGTAGAGGTTTACCCAGGGGTTCTTAAAGAAAGGCATACTTTCATTACAACATGATATTGAATGTGTAATGTCCAAAATGTATTTAATGTAAAATGTATTAAATAAGATGCGGTTGTCTTGTGTTGCTACTTTTTTTTTGTTTCCTGTTTCCGGCTAAGTAAGAGCTTGGTTACATTATAACTGCTTATTACTTACTTCATTAATGTTCTTCTCAGCACTGAGCTAATGATGAAAAGTAAGTACATGACCTGTGCTTTTGTCCTGCAATTATAATTGTTTATATGGTCGTGGATCAGTTAGCCACATTTGCCCGCTAGTATTGGCAACAGCCATTTGCAACACTTATTATACTCACGTCGAGGCACGTTGTTAGTTGTTTGAATATTGTAGAGTCACCTGACGTCGATTGTTTCTCCTTGCTAAGTAATGTGGAAGGGTGTGGAATATGTGTTAAAGGGGCTATATCATGCTATTTTTAAGCTTTCCACAGTTAACTACAGGAATAGACATGATCTTCTGTTACCTTTGGCACAATGGTGATCTAATTTCTTATGAAGTATGAGTTATTTTGGTGGCTATTTTTCCAAACCAGAAGTAAGACACCTGGTTCCCTAAAACCCTGCCTCTCCGAGTGTGGCTGCTGCACCCCTTTCCTGGAGTCTTAAATCCGTCCATGAAGTGCATTGGCCATGAAACAGCATCCATCCATCCATTATCTGACCCGCTTATCATCATGAGGGTGGCGGGTGTGCTGGAGCCTATCCCAGCCGTCTTCGGGCAGCAGGCCGGGTACACCCTGAACTCGTTGCCAGCCAACCGCAGGCCACACATAGACAAAGAACCCTTCACACTGACCATGACACTTTAGGACAATTTAGAGTGTTCAATTATCCTACCGTGCATGTTTTGGGAATATGGGGGGGGGAAACCGGAGTACTCGGAGAAAACCCACGCAGGCATGGGGAGAACATGCAAACTTCACTCAGGAAGGCCGCAGCCAGAATCGAACCCGGTACTTTTGCACTGTGTGGTCGACGCGCTAACCACTCGACCACCAGGCAGACCACTTATGCTAATGTGTGGAACAAATAGGTTTATTTTTGATCCAACAAAATACGTCTTACATATCGTGCTTGACAGCAGAGCTAATGTGAGGGCATTCATGCTCATTTTATGTCATTTAGGTAGCGGTTTGATTTACTTAAAGCTCTGGCCTCTCCAGCAGGTTTGATTGTGGTAATTGACCTAGGTTTAATCTCCCGGCCAATCCACTTTTCACCTGGCCAAGGTTCACAGTCCTCTGAGAAATGACGATCAGAGAAACAGCTGCTGAACGGTCCGTCACCAGGGAGGCCGGCGCCTAGGCCGAGGTGTCCGCTCATAGATCGTCTTTCTTGATACGCTTGTTGGACATACCGCTGTCTGCTCAGTGAAAGAGGGTATGTGTTTACTTTGAAAAAGAAGTTTTGAAAAAGCGAAGCTCCAGCCGGGGAAGGGAGGTCACTTGGCGCGCACCTTGATTAGACACACGTGCGGGCAAGCGCACAAAGGTGGAAACATTTCAGTGCAGTGGAGCCCAAGATATCCCAGATATACAACTTTAAGGGTGTTTTTGTTGGTATATTAACATTTAAACATGGCTAAAATCTTATTTAGCATGATATGGCCCCTATAAATTATATGTGGGCTTTCCATGTAAGTTACTAAGTGTAATTATTTTTCACAGCCACTAGAGGGTGACATTACACAATGATTTCTTGGTTTTTGGGCAGCAGAATACAAGGTAACTCAACGCGCTTCACATAATTAAAAGTACTCCACTTAAAAGCACTTACAAACAAAAATGTTTAAGACAAATAAAAGCAAAGTAAATAAATAAAATTCAGCTTACGAAAAATACTAAAAGACCTGACAGTTAAAAAAAAAAGATTTTGGGAAAACTTGATTCCTCGGTGTGAATGTGAGTGTGAATGGTTGTTTGTCTAAAACAGGGGTAGAGGAGAAAAAAAAAACATTTGTGTGTCTTTGTGCAAGTTAGTAATATATTTTTTGTATTAATATACACTGCATTCTAATCATCCTATTAGTCTAATTTTCACAAAAAGTATAATAAAAATAAAATAAAGCAGGTAAAACCTATGGTGGCGCGTGACCTGCATCACCGGAAGTTGTTAGCGCTCAGCAGAGCGCAATTGCAGCTTGCGGTCAGAGCTGTTGCAATGTACCCTTTATTATTATTATTATTATTATTATCATTATCAGGCAAAGTGCATTTCATGTGCAATTCACCGAGGGCACGGGCAAAGAATAGGAATCTAGAGGGCCGAGGGAAGCACTTTAAAATGGTACGTGTGAGCTACGATAGTTAGCAGGCTGCAAAAGTGCATCGCATGCCTCCGTGTCAGGCTGTTGCTCATCATGGCGTGCGTATGTATGTGCGTGCGCGGTAATGGGTCGATCACGGTAGGTTGGTTGATCGAAAAGTCGATCTTTGGTCCAAAAAGTTTGGGCACCCCGGTCTAAAGGCTCCAGCATGCCTGCGACCCTCAAGAGGATAAGCCTCTCCAAAAATGGATAGATGATGTTTTTAAATGCTCTGAAAGTGTGGGAAATGAATAGTTTTAAAATGAATTTAAACGCAGTTTAACAATGATGTTTTGAATCGATATTCATTCATATTATAAGGGGGCGTCTTATACTCTGGAAATTGCTGTAATGATAATAGAGTAAATAAAAATCACATTTTAATAAATTGGTCCCGCATGCCCAACTAATAGTGGGTGCTTTTGTATCATTTGCCATATAATGTGATTCTCAGGTCATCAATGTGGACGATGAAGGCAACGAGCTGGGCTCTGGTATCATGGAGCTCACCCAGACCGAGCTCATTCTTCACACGCGCAAAAGGGACGCCATCAGGTGGCCGTACCTCTGCCTGCGCCGCTACGGCTACGATTCCAACCTGTTTTCTTTTGAGAGCGGGCGTCGTTGTCAGACCGGACAGGGTGAGTGACGCTCATACTTAAAAAGTCATAAACGGCTATTGGATGCTGGATCTAACTGGCGAGTGCCAGCAGCAGCATGAGGCTAGCAAGACTACATTTGACTCTAAATATATCTCTGTAGCACACGGCTTCTGCTGCGGATAAACACGCGGAAAAGCTACACTTCTGACAAGTATCGTTCTCACGAAAAGGATGATGAGGAAAGACGGCAAAGCCATGCTAATTGCCAAGCTAACCTCAGTTTGACATGGCTAGCACGTTAACACCGGAATAATGTGGTTGGGTGATCAAGTGCACTTCACAGACGTCTGCCTGGAACCGGATAAAAGCGGAAAACATCAGCCAGTAGGAGTGGCCTATAAGGTTAAAAATATATTAATATAGTGTCAAATATTTATAATACCAATAATGTTTGTTTTCGCAATAGAGTCCTGAATTTTGATTTTGAATTTTAAGGTCTTTACTATAATGTTCTCAAAATTATATTTCATAATAATCAGCTGAAATAGCGTATTAATTGTGCAGCACGATGAATCGATAATGAAAATTATCGATTTTTATCATTTTGTTATTGCAGCCTGAATCTGAATTTTTTTTTTTTTTTTGCATCCCGTGTAATCGTGCTGTTGTTGTGTTCACCTGATTAGGAATATTTGCCTTCAAGTGCTCTCGGGCAGAGGAGATCTTCAACCTGCTCCAGGAGCTGATGCAATGCAACAGCATCAATGTGGTGGAAGAGTCCATGATGATGTCTGGCAGCGGCCACACGCCAGAGATGGAGATGTCTCGCGCACCACAGACACCCAACAGTCAGTCACATGTTTGAGTGACCTTCTGTTTCCATATTAGTAGAGTACTTGGATTGCCTTTTAGTAGACTCGGCAGCAAAACCGTCCAACCCACATAACAGATGAGACAGACGCTAGACACTCACCTTTTTCGCACCTATGAATTAATAACACTGGTCCACAGTAAAATTTAATCAGAGATGGCGTATGTGTCTCGACATTTTTGATGCAGATTGCAAAACTGACTTTCTTTGTAGCACATCTGGTTTTGGACATATTTTCATTTTCTTTTTTAAGTTTGACCTATAAAAGCTTGCGCAATACGGATCTACCCCACTTTCTAAATTATAGCTATAACGTGCCAGGAAAAAAAAAAATCACACCTATTGCTGAACCTAACCCTGTAATATGTATTGCATAGTATTCTTGTTGTGATATTATTATTATTATTATTATTATTATCATTATATTATTGTTAAAACCTGATGTTCTAGAGAAAGAAAAAAAACAGGGCAATTTAAGAATCAGTGCAAAAAATAAATAAATTAATTAAAAAGCATTTCGTAAAAAATTGTTGATCATTGTAATTTAGGAATGCCACTCAAAGTTGCTTCCTAAGAACTTATTCTTACTTTACAGTTTCCATTCTGTACCAATCCCTCCATTTTCTATTGTACTTGTAGGGCACATAAACACAAACAACCATTCACATTCACACCTATGGACAATGTAGAGTTGTCTTTAACCTAGAGTAGATTTTTTTTTGGGGGGGGGCAGTACAAATCCTATTTATACTGTGGAACATCACATGGTATTGTTTTTGTAATTTCAAAAAAACTTAAAAGGTTCCATAAATGTGCCTACAGCTCCAGCATTCCCCGTGCCGACTTTTCCCAACGGATACCCTGGTTATCCAATCAGAGGGGATTCCTCCCAACCTTCCCATGTGGAGGATCATGGACACAATCTGATGGCTTTGGAAGACCAGGTTAAATATTAAAATAACGGTCTGCCCGGTTTTCTCAAATCCTTGCTGACTTTAACTCCGCTTTGTTTCTTACCAGACTCACACTTATGTGAACACAGTTAGCATGGAGGGGGATCTCGCCATGCGTCACTGTGTGCACTCCTTACCTGAGGTGCGGCCCAGCACTTTCACCGAAACGACACGAGTTGGGGGACAAGGGAGCACACAGCCAAACCTGCGGCGTTGTCCCCTTGAGGAGCATCAAGAGCCGCAGGTGTTCCTACAGCCATCGTCACAGGAGGTCAAGTTCATGCTTGGCCCCACTCCGGCTCAGCGTCATCTACTGCAAAGGGAGCGGGAGAGGGAGCGGCTCGCTCACGGTACCCACAGCCTTCAGCCAGTAGAGGGCACAACAGGCTCAGAGACGGACGGAGACGAACCCTCCCTGCACATGTGCAATACCTTCTCCTATCACCATTTCCATCACCACCCGCACCGGCACCCGTGCCACGAGCACCCGGAGAGGTGCCGAGGCGCCGAGCTCACCTACGAGAACATCAACGGCCTGAGGAGCGGCCGAAAGCAGCGGCTGAGTCCCAGCAGCGTGTCCCAGTCGGTGGGCTCGAGCAGCAGCAGCAGCACCGGGGACAGTCACGCCCACACCCTCCTGCACCCGCACGGCCCGTCCTCGCTTCCCCCGCAGGGCTACGGCTGCGAGAGGCCCGTGGCCGGAGGTGGTCACCGCCGGACGGCCCTGCTTAACTACGAGAACCTGCCCTCGCTTCCCCCCGTGTGGGAGTACAGCGCCCTGCAGCGCGACGACGAGCAGGAAGAAGACGACGACGAGGCCGACGAGGAGGAATACGAAGAGGAGGAGGAAGACTTCGACGAGTATGAGTTCTCGGAAGGCCCCGAGACGAACAACGGGTACCACCCGGACGGGCGGGGCATCCACAGAGATGCCCTGCAGAACTACGTCAACACAGAACAGGTGCAGCCGCCCACAATGCGACACAGCTGCCCGCCGCATCCACGACCGTGTCAGCCCGACAGAGGGGGGCGCATATTTAACTTTGATTTCCGCAGACGCTCAAGGTCAGGGGTTGGAGTCTGCGAGCACGGGCACATGCCCCCGTCACGGCAACTGAACTACATCCAGGTGGACCTTGAGGGAGAACCGCCCTGCCAAGCTCTCGGCGCCGGCGGCGGTGGGGGCGGACAGCCACACCAGCGCCTCCCGCTCCAAAAGTGTGGCCCGCAGGCACCCCGCCGCAGCGAATGCTACGCAGTCATCGACCTGAAGAAGACGGCGGCCATGTCGAACCTGCAAAAAGCTCTGCCCAGGGATGATGGCACTTCCAGAAAGACTCGCCACAACAGCACAGACCTGCCTCTGTAAACCCCGTCGACCGTGACGAGCAGACACTGCGACAGATGAAAGGCTCATCCTCATTTTAGCACACTGGACCCTTCACTGTCATCCGTCCATTTCGACTATGGCGCTGACTAAAACAGTACAGGTACCAGATTAGAACCCTACTGTATCAGTGTCTATAAAAGGGAACTTCTGAAGGAGAATTTTGCCATTTGATGCTGTTATTTATTAGCTGTGTTGTGACGTTCTCTCCGGAATTTCACTTTCAAGTGCAAATACTGTTTGCTTGATTTCTAACGATTTCGCATATCGACAATATGCGGGAGCAGTGAGAACGGAGGCATTTTCATTGTGTAACTTAACCATGATTCCCCCCCCCCCCCCCCACAAACTTCCTCTCTTCTTGTGTTTCTACTTCCCCAACCAGCACATCCATGTGACAGCCCCTCGCTTCCTTGTGAGAGGCCAAACGCATACCGAGGTGTAGCCTACCATTTATTTTGATGACGTTTCCGGCCGTCGTCCGTCAGTAGAGCAGTTTGCACACAATCCTATGGAATTGTATTCTTTGGGTTATAGGGAGAGTTTTCACAATCACAAACAAAACAAAAAAAAAAAAAAAAAGAACCAAGTGAGGTTGAGAGGTTGTTTTGGGAGAATTCAACTAAGCTCAAGGGACAAGTAGCACAAAGTGAATCCGGTGAGCCTCGTCCCTCGCCCAAGTAGCATATCACCCTCCATCACACCTCCATCCACTGCGTACGATAATGCACTTTTGAACCCAGACGAGTGAGGACGCTGTTTATTTTAACATCCCCTGCACCTGAGCCACAGGTTTCTCATTTTCGAAAAAGAAAAAAAAAAAAAAACATAAGCGGGCCACATACTGTATTTCATAGCCAGCATTTGTAGTACTTCAAATGTTTGCGAGACAACATCTGTAACTTGACAGAGTGGCATTAATCTTATTAGCCTCGCCTAAAATGTGCCGATTCTACACTTTGCCCATCATCAGGTATGAATGCCCTGCGTGAAAGGTAATCAAAGTTATCTTTTTGGATTGCTAATCCACACTTTAGTGAGGTATTTATTTATTTATTTCATTATTTATTCGTTCTCGCCTTAACGTGTCCAACGGTTGCGTTCCATGTGACAACCAGCATATTTTTATCTGTAATCCAGTTAATCTGGAGACCAAAGTTTCACTTTTGACTGGTCCGTGCGTGATTCTATGTTGACAAAAGACAGACTTTAAGTGCCAAAAATGTAAAAAAAAAAAATTTAAAAAAAAAGATGGAATGAAATCAAAAGGTGCCATTGTAGAATACAAGTAGGGCTCTAGAAATAGACAAATAAGAGAAAGCAAACTTGAAATACAAATGAATCTCTTTTCAAAGATGAATAGAAACGTTGGAGAAAAAAAAATGCACATTTCACCTCATCCGTCCATCAACCGCCATATTGGAGTGATGTATGGAATTGTTTGCTGCTACATGTCCATACGGATTACATATAGACAGTGGTCCATGTAAGTGACTGTCTTTGTCCCAATGAGAACCTGCTACGTGTGTTTGCAATCTTTTGGCCATACATATAATTTTAGCTATGCTCCGTAGCATTGTCATCGTCTTTTGACTCAACAGTGCAAATGTTACAGTTTAGAGAAAGACTTTCATCTCATTATGGCCCAAACTGAAATATTGATTTAAGATATTTTTACTGACAAATTAGCTGATGAGCGGGAAGACTCACCGCTATGGAACTTTAAATCTTACACAGGACAACATGCCTTTTGTGTGTCAGTTTCATAAGGCTTTGACGTGCTTTTTTTTTTTTTTTTTTTTTTGCTTTCTACAAATGCAAATGTTCCTTTTATTCTGCCAAATTAGGGTCTCATTGCGTCTTTGTTGATTCAGGATAAATCAAAAGCAGCACACAGTGGAACCTCAAAAGTTTAAAACAGTCTGCTCTGTGACCACAAAATTTATGGTGGATATGAAAAGTCCACAACCCCCTGTTCAAATGCTTGCCATTTCTGATACAATTTCAAAACATGTTTTGCCATTTTTAAGATAAGATAACCTTTATTTGTCCCACACTGGGGAAATTTGCAGTCTACAGCAGCAAAATTGGGGTGTGGGGTAGAAAAGAAAACATTTTGTGACCTATTAACGTGTGTAATTCAACTGAAAGTGTTCCGAATTAAACAATCGCAATCAAATTCATGTTGAATGGGAGTCAGCACTTGCCTGCCACCATTTAACCCTTTCTTGCACCTTAACATGATAAGCTGTCCACTGTAGTAACCGCTGTCCCTCAACGGGTTAAAGTGCCTCTGACTAAGCCCAAATAGAATTCAAGTATTCCAGCAAGCTTTTGTTGATCATTTTGCATTCTTGCAAAAGCCCTGAAGATTTTGTACTACAGTAAAACTTCTCTACAACGAAATCATGTTTGCAGCAAGAAATTTTTCACAACAGGGGACTTTTCACTGTAGCAAATTTGATCTCAGACGTAAACACGAACACACACAAAAACGTCTGAAACTCACAATAACAAATACTTGTGGACTACTGCGCATGTGTAAACCAGTGTGGTGGTTGCTGTTGCCGTTTCCGAACGAAGCAGCAGAGGTCGCTGTGGCATGCTGAGGTTGGATTAGACTTTTGCGGAAGGCTTATTTTTGTTGTAGTGACTCTCAGTGCGAGGCAAGAGCAGAGAAAAATATTTCGTATAATGGAACAGGGGGACTTTTCTTCGTAGGGGGAGCAGAAAAGTGGGAATGGCTTTCATGCATGAACATTTTTTCACTCTAGGGGGGTATTTTCGCCCATGTAGGTTTCGTTGTAGAGGAGTCTCACTGTAACGCTGGTGGCTGTATTTCGAAAGGTTCACCTCAACTAGGTGCCCTGTTCCAGCTGAAGAAAAACAAGTTGAAAGCTTCACTTGTAGGTAATGTTGGTGATGACCAGTGTTGTGTTGCGCCGAACCCAAGTTTTGAGAATAATGGCCCTAAAAGTGTGTTTTTGTTAAATATAGCCAGCCTCGGATATTTTTCTGTGTAGAACGAGGCTTGTGTTTGACCACCCTACCCCGTAACCCGTACATTGTTGTCACATGCACGAGACAGCCAGTACTTGCCAGAAAGCTCTGCCACTCCTTCAGTGTTCCAACGTCATGAAGGGCCTCGCTGACTAACTTTCTTCTACTTATGCCTTTGACCAGGGACAAAAGTACAATAGAATATCTGAAGTTTGCTTGAATTAATCAGAGGCACTTTAAATGGTGCTAGTGTGTGCTGACTCCCATTCAACATTCATTTGAATAGGGGTGTGAAGACTTTTTTTTTTTTTTTTTTTTTAATATTCGCTGTACAATTGGAAAAAGGACAAATAAAACCCCAGTCGTAATCTCACCATTAAATTTGTAGTAACTGTCCAGACAGGTTTGAGGTTACATTTCAACGTTGACAATCGTTACTAAATAAATAAATGATGAACTGGAAAAATAACTATCAAAAAATAACACTTATTGAGTTTGCCATGTTGTACTTAAGCAGCCTGGATTGAGACGCACGTACCAAACGAAGGGTAAAATTTACGTGGCTAGTTTGTATAAGCAAGCAAGTTGATTGTGCTGCTGGTTTTGTTATATTTAAAAACGGGCGTCGCCGTTAACGATTAAACACAGCTTACTTTCCAGTCTATGTCTCGTTTTTGTGTTACACAGCCAGCGCGTGTACAGAATGTCAGGATGCGTTCCCATTCTGCGTCCATTTCCTGCGCTCTTGGTTTCATTATATTTGATCAATTAAAATCTATAGATGGTCACTGAGATTTGCTGAGTGAGACCTCTTTCATATCACATGATGATTGAGGCATTTTTCCTGAAAATGTAATTTAACCACATTGCGGGTGTTTGACTTTGGAAGTTCCACTGTATTTTTAGACAACGGGACCCACACATCATCTCATTCAGACATCTGGATTTATTTCATTCATTTTATAAGATAATGTTAAATTGTTTTGGTTTGCGGAATAAAGCTAAACACGAAAAAATAAGCCACGTTATTGTTGTCCAAGGAAATTGTTAAAAGGAAATTCAAAAACACAGAAGATGTGGTGTTGAAAGTATTACATTTATTTTTAATGTATATACCAATCGTTAAGAGTTGAGGCATGCTACACATATCCAACCAACCATGTATAACCAATGACAATAGATATTTTTCAGACATATTCTGCTAAATTCTCATGAGAACAATGTAGTTTCAGAGAGATGCTGTACATTCCTAACAGAGAAGCCTTAAAAATCCAAAATCATAAGTTATAATTTGTGTTTTTGTTCTTAAAGGCCAACTTGTCTCAGTTAGGACTGTTGAAGATGATCCGTGGGAAAGATGTTTACATTTGCAATAAGGGATTTTTTTTTTTTTTTTGAGTCAAAGGAAACCAATAGGTGAAGAGTGAGCTACTGGTAATTGTCTATAGAGCAATGAGCTCCATATCATCTACCTATTTGCCTGTTGTGTCAATCTTTCGCCGCATGTTTTTATGTTCACATTTCAGCCTTTATGTTATGTCATGTCATGCCATGATTGTATGATATAAATTGTCATTTACAGTGCCATAAACTAGTTCAGAGTTTCCAAAATTTATGGTCGGAGTCAGTTTTTAGTCATCGAATGCCCAGTGCAGTCATGCCTTGAGATTAGAGTTTAATTCATCCATCCATGACCACTTGTATCTCAAATAAATCTTTCCCTATTGAAACAAATGGAAATACCATCTATCAGTTCCAGCCGCCCACAAAAACGTAAAAATTGATATTCTTTCTCTCTTAAGAAAAATATCACTCTAAAACATTGTACTTGATAAAAACACACAGTAATGACATCATTATATAGAATGTAAGGAATGATGCCCCCCCCCCCAACACACACACATTTTTTGCTTCAGTTCAGAAGACATTGTGCTTTTCATCCTGGGGAGCGCGCCTTGGCCACCTGGGGGCAGTATAAAACAGACGTACATGGAGCTGGTCAAAACTCTTCAATAGGCCGCTTGAAGATTAGAGAAAATGGTTGTTGTCGATCTTTGTAGAAGATAAAGAATACATACCTGTGAGTTTTGTTATATTATCCTCCTACATATGTTTCTCCAGTTGGGTTCAGATATCCATTGCTGAAAGCAATAGTGTCAAGCTCATTTTTATCCCGTGCCACACTGTAGTTACTCTTTCCCACCGAGGCCCATTAATTACTGAAATTACTGAAACCATATAAATGTTAAATCCCCTCCTCTTATGGTTACATATACAGTACACAACTAGTTTTGAAATCAGCAGTTGAAAATAATAGTTTGTTTAAATTACTGTAAAAATGAGTTTTGGTAAGAAATGCTATATCCCAACGCTATTTAGAATGTAAGACAATTAGAAATTTTGTTGACATGCTTGATTTGCGTTTGCGGGCCATATCTAATGAGTTGGCGCGCCATATCTGGCCCTGGGGCCCTTGAGTTTGACACCCGTGGCTTTTAGGGATATAACACCATCACGCTGATGCTACTCGTTTTGCATTATTTCTTAGTGTTAAACTCAACAGACTCAACGAAAGCCACGCTAAGTGATGGTTTGAAATACACATTTACATTTAATTCTCTTTGTTTTATGTTTAGTTTGACAACTCGGAGTGGCAATAAAATGCCAAAAGCGTCTTTTTTGAAGACTTGGTCAGTTTTGCTAACTGCTGCTTGTGAGTTGAGTGAGTTCCTTTTTACTAGCAAGTCAAAACAAAATTGTATCTCTCGGCTCATTTGTATCTCAAGGCACCACTGTATATGTTGATGATTTTTTTTGTCATTTGGGTCTTTAGCTGAAAATGTATGTGGAAACTCTGCACTAGGTCACCATTGCCTGAATTAATCTTTGGCCTTGAGTGATATCAGGAAGTGGTTGTGTTCTCAAAATGTTATCCATGATGTCAGTGTGTACGTAACGTAGCAACCTCACCACCACTCACACAGCTACATCTTTCATAATCCAGTGAATTAATAGTTGAAGCTTATGTACGTGATCTCACCAAGTGGCTCTCTTGATGACAGCTGACGCCATCAAAGCGTGTCACTTCACAGTCACAGTCTCAGTCTTGGGTGTTTATGCCTCGGCATGCGACACCCGAGGACCCTGCGGTAACAATTGCTTCTGCTTGTGTTATCTGAAGGGCAAGATAACTCTCCTTGCGAAGTTCCTCAAACTCAATTTATCAAGCGGGTTGTTAAACCAAAAGGGCTTGCTCTGTGTTTACCGTTTAAACATGAAATTGTATTATCAAGAAATCCATTTCAAGAGTTTTCTCACTGTGCCTTTCATATGGACGCTGGGGGAAACGCATCCACCGCAGTTTATGGGGTCGGCCTGTTGTCCAAAAAAAAAAAAAAAAAGAAAATTAAAGGTAACAGTTTGACATTTGGGGATTTACTCATTTATTGTTCCACCCTCATGCCAGTCTTGTTGATTTTGAAAGCAGATTAATTGAGTGACATGGAGACTTAACATGCTCGTCTGCACTGTAAAAGCTCATCTGACCCCAGTCTGGTTGTCTTGTGTTTGTGTAAGTGTAAACAAGAAAAGATAAACACAAAGGATATGCTTGGTTTATTGGAGACAGCTTGCTACCAAGTAGTTTAGTGTTAGACTCCTAGAAGTCGCTTCTCTCAACACGTGACGTACCACAAGTCCATTTTTTTCTACTTTATTATTTGTGGCTGCTCTAACATGTTAATTTAAGAACAAGACAATTTACTAATATTTGGCTAAGAAGTTATCTGACATGAAGATTAGCTTGCTAACAACACTTGGTAAAACTAATTCTGAGCTGAACTGACTTCATGGTCTAAATGTAATATTTTCATGACTGGCAACTGGTCCCTTTTATTAATGTTTCCCATCCTTTATTGAGGCTAGGCAAATTTCAAAAATGTCACAAAAGTGGTGAATTGTCCAGGTTAATTGTGTACCTTCTGCCATCGAGCAGAAGAGTATTTCATTGGTCTCCCTGTGATAATACATCACTGGCATTGTGTTGAAAGGTACAAAGGTACCTTTGTTGTCAATCAATAAAGTGAAATTGGTTGGGAACTGACTGGGAAACTCTGCCTTACATTGGAGACTAAAGAAAATTAGCAGACTGTAGCGTTTAATGTTTTGAGTCTTAAGGAGGAAGTCAAGTCAAAAATTCTCTTGACAATAAAATGTTCGATGCGGAACCACTAAACACGGTATTCTGATGAATATTGCGTTTGGAGCATATGAATTATACGGCAAAATCTACTCGTTTATGTCCATCTCAGGGGGCAGCCATTTTGTCACTTGCTGTCGACTGAAAATGACATCAGTGGCTCAAGTAATGACCAATCACAGCTCGGCTTGTGAACATCACATGACCAAACTCAGAAAACAGGTGAGCTGAGATTGGTCGCTACCTGAGCCCTCAGCAATGTGATGTCATTTTAAGTCAACATCAAATGGCAAACTGGCTGCTCCCCCGAGATAGACAAAGACAGTGCTTCTTAATCCATATTCTAACAAAGCAATGTTAATCCAAATGCTGTGATTAGACTAGTGGGGACCCATAGAACATATTGTAAAGACAGTTTTTGACTCGGCTTTCCCTCTCCGGTCATTGTGCATACCTGATTCCTTGTCAGCTAAACTTTTGAAGAATGCGACTACTAGATTTCCTTTGATTTGCCTTTTTGTTATTAAGGTTGTTTTCTGTTCACCTGGTGGAAATATGAAGTCAGCATGAGAGAAAAGCATTAAAAAAAAAAAAGTTCCCCCTCATCAGATCAATTTCATCATTTTGGCCATATCGTGTTATACTCACAAAAGACAAAAACCTCATTGTCATGCTACAAAATAAATATCAGATAAGACTATTTATCGATATTCTGCACGTGTTCTTTTGTTCAGTTTTATACAAGCTTATCATCGCCACCAGAGGCTGATGTACTGTCCATGTACGGGTGACGCATTTGTCAGGGTGTGTGTGTGTGTGTGTGTGTGTGTGTGTGTGTGTGTGTGTGTGTGTGTGTGTGTGTGTGTGTGTGTGTGTGTGTACATGCAGGCTTTCTGACTACGGGGTTTACTTTTCCCATTGAAAGAGTGCCAAATATGATTTTGAGCATGTAAAACGTGGGAACTGGGAATTGGGCTCGTGAAGCGAATGCAACACAGACGTGAAATAATTGAAATGCACTAGGGAAAAGGCTCTTTATGTTTTGTCTCAGTTTGCAAATTTAAAAAAAAAGAAAAAAAAGAAAATTGTTTCTTCAAGTGTTTGTTTGATGTGTCTGTGCATCCACGGCTGACGGTCTGATATAGCCATTAGAAGCCCCCTTTGCTTCATCTGTTGGACTGTCAAAATGGACATTAGGGTGATTTTTGCCCTCTTTAATCATTCCACACGCAGATGACTTTTACTCGTCTGCTCATCACTCAGTTGATCATCTCAGAACACAGTGAGCCTGATACTTGGGGACTATAATCATTTACAGAGTGTGGATTTGTCCAAGATGTACAAGTCAATGTAATTCCAATATTAAAATGATGCCATGAAAATATCTTATTGTGCATTAAACAGTGTCAACTTTGCTTTCCATACCTTATCTGTGAATCTCTAGTGTCTGGGTGTAGGGGAAAATAAGCACTTTTTCCCCCTCATCTGAAATGCAACCAAACAAGTTTCAGACATTTTGTCTTGGAAGTTAATGTTTGTACAATCACACCAGATCACAGTTGGACATGAAATGCTTCGTTTACTTTGCTCTATTTATTGTTTTCAGAGGAAACATCCAGGACAGCCAGCCGACCAAACGGGCTCGTTTCAACATGGGCATGTGGATAATCATCCATTTTTTCGTCTAGAAACTGATGAAAGTTGCTGTGTGTGTGTTTTTGAGACCAGAGCAGGGAAATAATGGTGGCTTTGTGTAAAGATCACCCCTGGCGAATGTATATATTTTCCAAGTGGCTGAAAGCATCAACATTTTTAGCAGAACATCCTCTGAAGGATGCATTTAAGCACAGGTGTCAAACTCAGGGCCCAGGGGCCAGATCTGGTCCGCCACATTCTTTTATGTGGCCCGTGAAAATCATGTTAGACTTAGACTTGCTTTATTGTCATTGTTACATGAACAACGAGATTATATACAGCAGTCCCCAAGGTGCAGTTCAACTTAGAAAAAAAAAAAAAAAAAAAAAGAAGATGTGGCATCTATGTGTAACATTGCAATAAATATATATATATCTATGTCTGAAGACCAGAATGAGTCAAGCAAGGGTAGCTGAAAGCAACAACAAAAATAGACTTTTATGTTAAAAAATACTTTTATAGATACTATATTTGTATATGCAGTAAGCAAGATTCATATTTCTAAATTGCTGTTTTGAAGAAAATGTTGAACTCACCCCTTGGCATTTAAACCATGAAAGCACAGTGGTATTTTGGCTTGGAATTGGAATGAGTCCAATCCTGCGACAAAACAAGGGTGAACACGTATGTTGCCTTATTGGAGGTGGAGGGCGCCCACTGCGGACAGGAAGAAGCAACATGGACTCGATTGGTAAGTGCATATCACCTCTGTTTGATTTTTAACTGACCATAAATTCTAAAAAATAAAATTTCAACCTAAAAATGTTTTTGAATAATGTGGTTGAAATTAAAACTGTTTTTAATGCAATTAATCAGTTCATGAAGAACATAATCAAAAGATTAATCAACTAATAGTAATTTTTAGTCACTCTTTTAACAATAATCAAACAGGTACATATTCTTTATCCTCTGCAAAGAACAGCTGATATCACTGGACTTAATGAGGTGACAAGACCAACTCCATATCTCTACGTCTGTATTATACTGCCCCCAAGTAGCCAAGGGGTGGATACCAGAAGAAGCAGCACAATGTACATTGGATTGAAGCAAAAAATGTATTTAATTTCTTTACATTCTACAAAGTATTGAATTATTCAATAACTGTTTAACTATGCGATTACTGTGTTTTAGAAAGAACAATACTACGGAATACTATTTTTTGTAATTAAAAAAAAACACATTACAAACAGTTTTGTAGTTTTTTTTAAGAGGGGGTGCTTGAACAAAACAAATTAAACTTGTAACTCAAGGCTGTGGCACTGTTTGCCTCTCAGCACGCGCTTACAGAACTGACGTGATATTGACGTCATATGCATTCCTTAATGGCCAAAAGAAGTGACCCTTCCGTTTGGAGTAGCAAGTTTGACTGTACATAATTACCGTCCTCGTCATATGATGCAACTGCAGCTGTGACAACATGTCACATCATCTGAGTCACTGTGTGTGTGTGTGTGTGTGTGTGTGTGTGTGTGTGTGTGTGTGTGTGTGTAGTTGTATGTGTGTGTGTGTGTGTGTGTGTGTGTGGAGTTGTATGTGTGTGTGTGTGTGTGTGTGTCTGTGTGTGTGTGTGTGTGTGTGTGTGTGTGTGTGTGTGTGTGTGTGTGTGTGTGTGTGTGTGTGTGTGTGTGAGTCACCTTTTAGAGCCAGAAGGACCATTTTGGAACTTGAAGAGGTGTGTGTATATCAGCAGAAAATGGTCACGCACAAGCGCAGTTTTTAATTGGATGTCATGTCGGATGGACAAAGGTGTAAAGTCATGAACTACTAATATAGTACTTTATTTCTGTACTTTAATAGATTTTTAAAAAAGTTATTTCTACTTAAGTATTTAACAGGGTTTTGCTTGTATTCCCTGCATTTGGAAATATACCTTTACTTTCTACTCATTACTTCAAATAGGCTCATTACTTTATTCGATCTCGACAGATGACGACAAAACGCAAAAGAGACGTGAACTCAACAGCAGTTGATTTTGAGAACTGATTGATTACGATCACTGTAAAGCCTTAAGGACTGGAAAATATGTTCTAATCTGTTTGTTTTGGTCAGAACATGTGCTGCAGCCTTTTGAATGATCTGCAACTGTTTGATGCTCTTCTGAGGGAGTCAAGTCAAAAGATTACAAAAATCAAGTCTGCTGACAATGAAAGTATGGATAAGCTTCCCCTGGGCTGCATGGAGCATGCGACCCTTCACTCTGAATGATTTTTTTTTTTGGCTGGTAAAAGACTGGAGAGGATTGAGTTGATTTGACTGGTGAACGTTAGATCCACAGTATACAGACAATTACAGTACCAATTGAATTGACTTGATTTTGTAAATGCCAACTGGTTCTGTAAATTAGTGATTGTAACCCTTTATTGAGCCAAGGTAAAAGTACACAGTAAGCAAAAACATAACAAACAAAAAAGTGGATACGCAGGTTAATTATGTATCTTCTGACATCTAGTGGAAGAGCACTCAATTGTTCTCCCTAGCAAAGATAGTTAAACATTCATTCATTCATTTTCTGAACCGCTTGATCCTCACTAGGGTCGCGGGGGGTGCTGGAGCCTATCCCAGCCGTCTTCGGGCAGTAGGCGGGGGACACCCTGAAATTGGTTGCCAGCCAATCGCAGGGCACACAGAGACGAACAACCATCCACGCTCACATTCACACCTAGGAACAATTTAGAGTGTTCAATCAGCCTACCATGCATGTTTTTGGAATGTGGGAGGAAACCGGAGTACCCGGAGAAAACCCACGCAGGCCCGGGGAGAACATGCAAACTCCACACAGGGAGGCCGGAGCTGGATTCGAACCCGGCACCTCTGCACTGCGAAGTCGACGTGCTAACCACTGGACTACCGGGCCGCCGATAGTTAAACAGTGATGTATTATTTTTTTGTGAATTGACCATTTTGTAACGAAGTGAAATTGGATCACTTCCCACGTCGTGCATGTTGGGAAAAGGTCACCTTAGCCACCTTACATGCAGACTTAAGGATGTGATACTCAATTATGTTTTAAAGTTTGCACTTTTGAACTTTTACTTTTGAATCAGGACTTCTGCTTGTCTCGGAGAAGAGTGAGTGATTTTGCCACCTCTGAGGTTCTAGACAAATGCCTGCTTCCACCGTAGCCCCACCCTCTCGCCCACGGAACAATACCCGCACATGTCCATTCATTGTTCATGTCATGAGGAGCTGGTGCCTCTCCCAGTTTGCAGTAAATATCATAATCTGAAATTAGTAAGTGGAGTTTGCACTGCAAACAGATTGGTCGCAGCCCTGTGTAATAAACAGTGTCTGACAGGAGGAGCTTCTCATGTAGACCTCCATGGGGAATTCTATCTGAAAATGTATTATACATGTGGTGCACCTGTTCTGCATTGAAATCGCCATAATTAAATGAAAAAAAAAATGAGACAGGAATGTTAAGTCAACCATGCCTTACATGTGCACGTGCCCTCATTGGGACCGGCATCGTCGATTAATAGCCTTCTCTTAATTTAGCCAGGCTCAAAGCTCAGCTGTTGCACGGTTCGGAACAAGGAAACAGGTGAATGCACTTCCGCCCCGTATTTCTCGATTGCCGCATTGATATCCCAACCAGAATCATTCAAATAGCAAGACAGGAACTAAGTACTGTGTTTTCATTATCCCAACAAAGACACTTGACTCCAAAAGGAAGCGAATTTAACCCATTTAATCCCAAAATTTTCCCAGACATTTAAAAGTCAAAATCAGGTGTCATTGGTAGCCCTTTTAAGTAATCAGTAATAAAAAATTTTAGAGCCCTGTAAATGAAATCATTGTTGTCCTTCACAAATGTGACCGGTGGGATTAAATGGGCTAATTTACAGCTGCATTGCAGCGATAATTATTCAGGTTTACAAAGGTAAAGATTGCCAACATAAACTGTGCATGCTATTTCGTTCAGATTTTACTGTAAAAGTTGACTCCAAAATGGAATTCAACTTATTTTATTATGAACAAATAAAAATATTCAAGATTTTTTTTTCATTTTATTCCTATTTTTTTTTTTTTTTTTATTTTATTCTGAACAAATAAAAATATTCAGGATTTTTTTTTTCATTTTATTCCTATTTTTTTTTTTTTTGTTGAACATCAAATCAATTATCAAAAGTCTTTCTAAAATTCTGGTAGTTTCATATATACAAATGATCTAAAAGGGCTTGGATTCACCAGACATTAAATTAAAATAGTGTTCGTTAATTCCAGAATCAGAATCAGAACTGGCCAAGTATGTACAACACACAAGGAATTTGTCTCCAGTAGGATAGGCTACACAAGTACAGGATTGCAATAACAAGCAACTACAATAAACATAGACATGACATGTAAGTATCCAAAGACTCCATAATAATTGATGTTCTCCTGTTGCATTACGCATGAAATGTTCACAAAGTGTTTTTGTTTTTGTTTAAAGACACCCACATGTATTTTTGTTCTTAAAATTGTTCACTAATGACAAGTTGCACGTACCAGTCTCGAAACGAGACAAATCTGAGGTGCGTCTCAGTAATCATGCACACAATACGTCGTTGGTACCAATTGTGTTACACAGCAGTTCAGAAAAAGATCAGCCAAATGGAACAGTGCCAGGGTAGAGGGGAAAAGTTCATGACCATAAAAGTTGAAAAGAGGAAGTAAATAGTAGGTTATAAACAGAACTAGCAGTTGTGGTTTTACGATAACATAGTTCATGATTAAAGAAAAGATTAAAAAAAAAAAGGGGAAATATTCACAGTGAGATTCCATGTCGTCTAAATAAATCCCATGGACTAGCCAGGGCTGTGCAATACATCAAATGATGATAAAGATCTGCTATTTGCCATGCAGGATGTTTGCATAGTGACCGAGCGATTGCCATTATTTTCTTTTCTCACAACTTAGGGCTCAACATGGCAAATTCCCACTTGGCAGATAAATGCCGCCTGTTTACAGCCACTGACATAACAGAGACGGCTCAGCTGATTTGGTTTAGTTGTTAGCAACTGTGCTAATCTCAGTGACTCGAGCTGCTCCTGTCTCAGTGGAAAAATACAGCGGGGAAGTGGTGTATACCTTGAACCTTTGTCAGAGCCAAACACTTTTTCAAGTGCGGCCGCATGGTGTGGAGCGCAGCGTCTGGCAACGAGGCGGCTCAGGGAGAGGAACCGTCGCAGCTTTGATTCTCACTCTGGCTCCGCTCATGACTTTTTGTTTGTATAGAGAGCCTGCGGTGCATCCATCCGAGAGGAATACTGATCACTTTGTTGTTGCTGTAAGCAACTCCCAGGGGAGAGGGGCTTTGTGATGGAGGGGTAAGTACTCGGTCTATTTCCCTTGAATTCTCCACCGGCTACATCTTTGACTTTTAATTCTAGGACATGCTTTGGCTCTCCCGGTTGCCACGGCTTTCAGAGAAACACTTGTTGCTGGTGGAAACTTTCCATCGCTGGTAATCCGGCAAGCTCAAGTTTAACCAATAAATTAACACAAAGCCCCCGCCCGGCGGTGCCAAATCGTAGTCAGCTGAGTAACATTGTCTTGAAAGCATACATCCGAGTTTCAAATATTTGTCCATCCTTATCTGAAGGAGAGCGACGGATGTTTGAGATCAGATTGCGCCCCGTTTGTAATCAATCTCCTTTTGAATATGCCAAGTGAATTCCTGAAAGGAAGCAGCCGTGAAGCGGCCGGTCAGGGCAACGCTCTTGCAAAGAAGACTCAGCTGCTGGACCGCGGAAAGTGGGCAAACAAGTTGGAGTTCCTGCTGGCGGTGGCAGGGACCCTGGTGGGCTTGGGGGATCTCTGGAGGTTTCCCTATTTGTGCTACAAAAATGGGGGAGGTGAGCTTATTCTAATCGCGCTTTCTCATTTCCTGTTTCCTGCTTTACATTGAACAAACGCAGTTAGTCATAACATCGATTTGAATGATAAGGGGAGGACGAGGTCAAGGGGAAGAACCAGACAATGAAGATGTGAGAAAATATGCTTAGACTTCTGTTTCCTCCCCCACTCAGGGGCTTTTTTGGTTCCATACGTTCTGTTTCTTCTGGCCTGTGGTATCCCAATGTTCCTCCTGGAGACAGCCATGGGTCAGTACACATCTCAAGGATGCATTACATGCTGGAGGCACTTCTGCCCTTTGTTTGAAGGTTAGTATTGGAATACGTACTGAATTTTTAAACACAAATTTACATAATTTAACAGGTGCTCGACACAGTCTGATAGTAGCCCCCCTCATTTCTACAATTCCTGGAATGATACACACCACTTTTACTTATTGAATGAATAACTTTTAACTGGAAATCACACATCGAAGTGGACGTAAGAAGTTGTGTGAAGAGATACTATTTTTTTTTTTTGTTGCATTTTCCATTTTGGAGATCATTCACATTCTTAAAGCTTATCCAACATTCAAAATGGTAAGAAAACCACAAAAAAAAAAATGCACACTCAAAAATACCCCCTCCCCCTCAAAAAAGTGCTTTAACCTGTACCCCCCCCC